TGCCACATGTGTCATGTGACTGAAAACTAGCATGACTTGTCAGCGAGAGACCGTCTCATTTACTCGTACCAAGGAGACATAACCATACATGTAAAAAAAAATTCCATTATCTAACATGGGTTGTTAGCCCATTTACTTTGGTGTCTAAAAGCACTCAAAGGGAAATCGACATGAATGTTCACAACACATTATTTGAGAAGTCAAACTTTGATTGATGTCTGCATGATTTAAGAGGTGGGGTTAACATTCTTAAATAAAATTCAGGGACAACACCCACTTTTAATTGTCCCATTCCATGACAGTTAAAAATCAGACAAATAATACACATAAGAGTGCACACATTTTATTGTTATTAGTGGAGAACAAACTCATGTACCTTTGATATTATTATGTTAGTGATTCTGCTTGAATGGGACCTGTGTCACTAGTATGTTCTTGATGCTCTCTAATGCCAACCTCCAGCCTTTTTTTTGTCATTTATACCCATTTATGTGTGATTCTTCACTGACGCCCCTGCCTATCTGCTTACCCTCCTACTTAAAGCTGAGTAACATGATTCCCTGCCTGCTCATAAAACCTCTCCCTCATTGCTCTAGGTTTACCTTCTTCTCCTTGCTATGAGGAGTATTACCCCACCCCCACCTTAAAAACCTCTGACTTTTTATAGGGCTGTGCCACCCATGGTTCTGCAACGTCAGCTGTACCTTCTCCCCTGCAACTTTCAGTGTGCACTTTGTGTGTTACATACTTTGCCTCACCTCCATACCACATCATTCGGTCTGATACGGAGCCTAATTTTGTCTGTTTCTGCTCTATCACGGTTTGTAAATACTCAGCTGTTTATCCCATTAGTACTCCTCATATCTTTTAACACTATTCTGTTTCCTCCTCTGTGTCTCACTTTCAGTCCATGGCCCTTTAATCCTGTTTCCTTCACTTAGTGTGGGAGTAATCGGACAGTGCCGGCCCCAAACCTGTGTGAAGGTGACCGTGCTATTGGGCTTGGGGCGTGCGGTCAGTGACCTACACAGCGAAGGTCACAGCTGATGGTGCAATGCATGCATTGCGGGGATAAGCTAGTGGATTTCACTAATCTGACAAGTGTGGGGGGAGGGGAGTCATTAGGACTATAAGACTGAGAAAGGCCTGTAGGTGACCCTGGACATACACTCACAAGAGGGATCACAACACTGTCAGCTCCTGTAGGACGACTGCTGTCGTGCATTATGGCTGCTTGGTCGCTTACTCCACACGCATCTGCATCAACGTTACTGCACGTCCAGCACCTCACTGAACACAGCAGGATTATACACACATCATATCAGCTCAACATGAGTAACAGGAGTGTCACTGTGACAATGAATCAAGTAACCAACCCTGTACAAGACAGTGCCTTGCACTTGATGCTACAATGGTTCTGACTTGATTTCAGACAGAGCTTCCCGTTGGTGCTGGAGCTTTGAAGAATCTCTGTGCCCAGCGTACGGAGTACCTCATCACGACATCACTAATAACATTAACCACACAAGACACAACACACACAAGAATAAATGTAAAGACTCAAACACAATGACATTTTCACCCATACATGCATCAGAACATCAGTACTATTTAATGTGAATCTTCCGTGGCAGTTTGTAACTCTCCAGCTACCTCCATGTTCCACAGTGTCACTCCGGCTTAAATTGTGTGCTTCATACCGCTGGTTTCTGAGCTGGGGTCACTCCAGCTAGGAATACTGTGCAGATAATTCCTTGAATCTCTGAAAAACAGCACTCAAAGGATTCTGGAGAGCAAACTATTAATGAAGGAGAACAGAATGAAGAACCCGATCCTCTCTGGAGGATGCTTGGACATTCGTAAAAGGCTCTTCTTCATGCCAGTATAAACAACCCTTTCCAGAACATCACAGGAATGCAGCCATTACGGGTCTCATATTATTTTATCTGAACGATGCTTTTCACACTGGGGTGTAGCGTGAGGCTACACCACATGCTCCCATTTTCTGTCCACAGTGTCCCTGCCAAAGATTCCAGCATAGACCGGTGACACTAAAGCCGTAGCGTGGATCAAGTGCATAATAAATGAAAAGCATCAGTCTGAAATGATCTTAGACTACAGCAGTGCTTCCCAATCCGGTCTTCAGGGACCCACAATAGGTCTGTTTTTGTTCTCTGCAAGCTCCCTGTCAGAGTCCACATTTTTGGGAGGGAGCAAGAGTGGACTGTCTGTGGGTCCCCAAGGACTGGATTGGGAAACACTGGACTACTGCAAGCTGTACAGCAAGATGAGTCAGACTTACCAGTATTACAGCGTAATGGAGTTTCCTCCTTCTGCATATGCTGCTTCTGAGCACTCTTCATGATGTAATCTATAAATTCACCTCAAAATAAGGCCAGCACATTATTTTAAACTGTATTTGTCCGACCTAATTTTATCCACACTTGTCTCTGTTAAGTATTGCAAACTGATGTGAACAGAAGACCTTACTGACCACAGTGGGTTATTTTTGTCCTCTTTCAGTCTTTATTAGCTCAAGTTTTCTGGCCAGGATGTCACTATAAAAGTGAGAATGTTCTACCTGCTTATATAAGCATATTTAAATACGTTCCCAAGTTGTGCTGGTATACAAATACCATGAGGAGGATAATTTTAAAACTAATGAGAGAACCTGTAGAAGACTAAGAAAAGCCCTCCACTGAAGGGAGGAACAGCCACACCCCCAGCTCCAGGTCACATTTTTAACAGTTTGCTCTACTGTATCATCGTCATGCAGTGAGGTTGTTGAAGATGATCAAGTTAATGATCTGGCCGCACACGCACACGAGTTGTGGCCACAGAGAATACAAGAAAGGCCTTTGGGGCTGTTATACTTGCAAAAATGCCTGTATCACACCTGCTACTGCAAATGAGGAATTGGTGACTAATGGAAGGCACATCTAACAATATTAAAACTGCTACTATTGAACCTGAATAAATATTTCTTGAACTCATTCATCAGTTCCATAATGAAGACAAAAACCATATAGGTAAACAACTTTTTATTTATTCTATCCATGTCACTGGCAAATATAAATAACTGCTCCACATTTTCACAATGTTTTTCTCATTTTTAATGTTTCTTTTAAATTCAATGTTGTCCAAATTTCCCAATTCTAAAAATAAGTGCACAAAAATGTCCACCTTCTGTTTGCTTGTTTAACAGACATAAAACCATGTTAAGCCTGTAAGAGGCACAGAGTCAGTCCTGACTGCGTGTGTGTGGGCAAGAGAGGGACACACCAGAGACACAGCCACAATGAGCAAAGGAATGTGTGTAATGTGTGTAATTTGTGAGAGAGATTGTGTGCAGGATGCATACCCGCATGACATCATACGCATGTAAGCATGTGGTGGTCATCATACTGCTGTCATACATCTGACTGTTTTAAGGCTTCAGTCAGTTTACAGAGACAAACAAAGGTATTAAAGGAAGCAAAGGCAAAGCCCAAGTCGTGCCCCGCTGATGTAAATGGACTGTGTCAGGACACTGTGCACCTCTGCTTCCTCAAACCGCAGTCCTGCTCTGAAATAATGCACACCTGCTGGGGGAGCGCACCGAAGCACCGAGATCGATACAAAGTCTTCCGTGAAAAAGGGGACCGTGTGAGGAGAAACGATAAGGAAACCAAACTAAATGTGGGGCCCCGTAAACCCTGTGTGGCCCTCTGCACCGCTGCCCCCCCCCCTCACGTAATGCTCCTATGTGGAGGATAGGGAGGTGGAAGACGCACACATGCCGCTCACAGCAGAGAGCAGACCGTGACGAGACACTGACACTTCATACTTTTTTTTGCACCTTCCCCTCCCTTGACAATTAAAAACCAGACAAAAGCTTATCTATATAAATGGCTGTTTAAAAGTGTAACACCAGCCCCCACCTCTTTCTGAGGACAGCAACGAGACCAATCAACAATGACGTTCACTACCACCACTGTCCCAGAGCATGTGAACGGGCCAATCATAGGGCCGACACATGCAGGCCACTGTACAGATCCCGAGCACATCTATGCTGCAGCGAGGCTTTCACACCACAGAGGAGCAGCACTGCACAGACTCACTCACGTATCCTACTTTTAGATTTTTTTTTTGGTTAGTTTTATTCATTTTGAACCGACTCCACTTCTCCAACTCCATCTGCTGCCCTGTAAGACAGGGATGGACACTACATTCAAAAACCTTGTCAACTCACAGTCCCTGGCCTCATGACTGCTTACATTCTTAAAAGTGTAAAACCTACACCTTGTGTCCAGACCAAGCTGTGTGTGTTTCTTTCTTTTCCTAACCTATAAGGTTAACGATTCACAGGCAGGCCTGGCGGCAGCTGCCCTGTGGCGGAGTGCCGGATTTGGACCAAGTCACAGCTGGGAGTCCCATGGCTGCAGCTGCCTGCTTATGTGGGAGAGATGGACGGACCACCTCCATAAGGCTCACAGGCAGGAGAGACCGCTTCCGCTCCACTACACTCTGCTCTACACACTCCGGCTCTCTTTGCTTCTTTACTTTTTTTTTCCTTTTTTTTTTTTTTTTTTTAAATATCTCCGTTTTCGGCTCGCATGCATGAAAGACGCACGGCTTTTTAAACAGCTAAAAATGTCTCTTACAACGAACCATGGGCAAAACATTTCATTCCCGGAGCAACGCCTCACTTTCTGAACGTACGTAAAATCCTATGCACTAAAAGACAGCTTTAAGACCAATCCACAACGCAGGGCCAAACCAACTACACATTTAAAACTGCTGGGAGAACAGAAAGCAAATTAAGCAATAACTATACCTACTGAAATATAACCTTTAGCATATTTAGATCAAATATAAATTACTTTTTAGATATAAATATCTTCTTGTAAAGTATTTACATGAAAATGGCTACATTTTGCTGAAACAACAACAAACACATGGGCTGAATGGCAGCAGCACCCTGCCGGACACTCACCCCCACCCCCCCCCCCCCCCCCCCCCCCCCCCACAAACATTTCATCACGTCCTCTAAGTCACCCCCTAGACTCTCCCGCTCCTCCATCAGGCCGCATCAACTTGACATGGAATGTGCTTCACACTTTGCTCTGCTGCACGTTTAACAGGCTATCTGACCACGGGATGGAATAAAAACAGGCAAAAGCCGCTGTCTTCAGAAAGAGGCCTCTCCCCCCAGGGCCCAGCCTCATGCTGTACGTGGTTCTTCACAGCGCTTTTCTGTCTCTGGTCGTGGACGTGACCGACTCGGCTTAGCCCTGTGAGGAAGAATGAGGGAGACGTGGGGACCCGCCGTGGGGACCCGCCGTGGGGCCGACGCGGCTGATGGAGGTATTGCTCGGCAGGCCCTCAGGGCGGGGGAGGCGGTGGCAGGCCGTCGGGCTTAAAGTGGCTCAAAACCACGCCTTTACTGATACATTCTGAGTAGATGCAGGTCTTCGGAACACGTCTACCACTGATCAAGTGCAAAATATCATGGTCAGACAATCAGCGGGAGTTGGCTGACACCGCCCCGGTTCTTGGCGATGGAAACAGGGCCCCGCTTTATAGTGCAAAGGTACAGCGGCCATTTACTGGCCCCCACAGCTGGAATGGGTAAGGGGCAGTAATGGGACAAGCGGTCCTCATGGATCCAGCCATCTAACTGGGCCACGCCCATGAAAAATTCACTCAAATGACTGGACACACAGAAGTCCGTGGGGATCTAGAAGCCAGACGAGTTCCTGGCTGTGTCTCGAACGTGTGTAGGCCTGGTGCCGGGACGTAGGAGGGGGTGGGGGGTGGGGGGATCTTAGGTTTGGTCTGACCAGTTGTGCTCGGTGTCAGGTCTGACTGGCGGGGACTGGCTGAGTAGGGGCTGGAGGCTCCCCCTAGAGGCTGCATCCCAGCACAGTGGCCTTATCCTGAAGGTTGGTGAGGTGGCGCAGGCTGGCGCTGGAATAGCCTTCGTCGCTGCAGCTGCTGCGCATGCTGGCCCGCTCGTCCGAGTCGCTCACACTGCTGGTGCTCCACTCCAGGTCTCCCAGCAAGTAGTCCGTACCTTCCACGTCCACATCGAGCTCCTCTGGAAGACACACAGACCAAAGCACATGATCACTGCTGCCCTTGACCACGGTATGTGTGAGCTGCCCTAACCTTACGTGACCCCTGTCAATGGATTTTGTCACCCACATTTGAGGCCCTGGTGGTCCTGTGTACCACCAGCAATCACAGAAAGTAGTTATAGCTCAATGAGTCATTGTGGTTAATGGGGCTGATATACTAGAAATTAACCAGTAAGTTTTAACTCAAGCCAGTTCCGGCGTTTTTGTACTTTCTGGTTCTTGAGTAGCAACAGATATGACCTCTGTCATCACAATAAGAAAGTATTCAGATTTTTTTTAACCTAATGGTAAATGTCATTCACAGCGTGCACCTGTAGGGGTCACTGAAATCCAAATCAGTACACATGCCCCGGAGCCCTCCTGCAGGAGCACACGCGCAGCTAGGAGGACGCGAGCCTCACCCTGGTCTGAGTCGGACTTCTCTGAGGAGACGGTAGACCCCATACTGTCCATGCGTGTTCGCTCCACGCCCAGCTGTTCCAGGCGACGTCGTAGGTGCCTCTGCTCCCGCTGCAGCTGGTCAATGGTGTGCTGGGCTCGGCGCTCGCTCTCCTCCAGGCGCTGTGAGCAGACACACGCAGAGCGTTACGCACTCCCTCTGCCTGCCTGCTGCTTCCGCAAAGGACACGGTGTGCACAGTCTAGCTGCCGCATGCATGCATGAGCCATCCAGGCCATACCTTGATGTGTTCCTTGGCTTTCATCAGTAGGCTGAGGGTGGTGTGACGGTTGGAGTCAGGTCCCAGGGGTACCAGTGACTTCAAGCGCTCCAGACACAGCCGCAAGTGCGCCCGTCTGGGGGGAAGGGGGGCAGGTATGTAGTTACATGAGCAGGCTTTATTTCTCCACCAACTAAAACAGACCCCAGCACGTGGCGAGTGCTGCAACAGATGCAGCAGTGCATCAGCCAGGGCTGCAGGAGGCAGCCTGCATTGCCAGCCGTGCCTCCCAGTCTGTCTGCCCCCCATAACCTCCCCACTCCCACCCATAACAGCCCGAACAAGGGCCCAGCGACAACAACACACTTCCTTTCAAAAATACACCACACAAGGTCATGACTTGGATTCATTAACAATTCAGGAAGAGAGTTTTACGCTGCAGAGACACCAGGGACAAGGCAAAGACATAGTGGAGGTTTGGAGCACGTCAGCCATAGCAGAATCAAAGAAGCTGACCTATCCAGATGCATGCCCAAGGGGAGACAAGAGCGTGCGGCTTACGGTTCCGCCTGTCGCTTCCTGTGGTTAAAATGTCTTCCAGTAGAAGATATCAGAACCCATGTGAAACCAGCACTCTCCAGAGTGCAGACATAAGCTACACCTGTTCCTTGTATTAACCAAGTGCCCTCCATTATTAAGGAATTTGTAAGTGTCCTTACCCACCCAAGTTGGTAACCACAGCTGGAACACCCTGTCCGCTGCTCTCTAACTGAAGGCAGTTAGACAATAAAACAATGCAGAAGAAGCCAGGCGGGAAACAATGTGTCAAATGTTTAGCAATTAGTTTAATAATCCTCAGAGGTTATGGGACCAGACAAACTAAAAGCACAACTTCATCTCAAGCAGACCCTATAGTTCATAAACATGCAGCCACCACTACTGCAGAGAATTGGCAGAGGTAATTATAGCTTCTTTCTTTAAACTTAATAAAGGAATTCCTGAGTAAAAGAAGCTCTGGAAGCCCAGCAGCATTTGGCATGGCAAACTTTTTCTTTTTCTTTTTTCTTTTTTTTAATCTTAAGGGTCAAGGAATAAATGATCACCTTCTTAAAGTGATCGTTTTTAATACATATCTACAGGAAAAGCCATTTCACATAAGACCAGTCACATGGACACCTTTTACCTGCTGCTTTTCATATTTCCTTAGTAACAACAAAGCAAAGTTCAGACAATCTGATGATAATGATGAGTACAATGCTAAAATTAATACTACGCTTTAATTCGTCAATGAGTAAAGCTGCAAGGAGATTTCACAGCAAGCTTGAGACCCTAAATGGGTGTAGAAACAGGCTGGCTAAGCTACTCCAGGCAGCCTTTAAAAAAAGGCTGACAAATTCCCGCTTGTTCAAGCAGCTTCTCCACCTGACTGCGATGATTTCTCAGCTCCTCTCTCCCCTGTCACAACTGACATGTTTCACAGCTGTTCATGTGGGGTACGTGTCCTCGACCAGATGACCCGTGTTATGTAATATTCTTCCATTCAGGCAGGAGTCACAGCCTATTTTACAGCCTGCGCTTTTCACAACAAAATCAACCAGGTATTGAACACAGTCTGCACATGTGTGTGAGAAGCTTCTGTATCTATATCTGTAATAGCAACTGTGGATGTTTTGTGTGTGTATTTATATTATATTATATATACACATATCTCACACATGAATATATGTCTAATGTATCATACACGACATTAACTATTAACACCCAAAACCTAATCGATGTACTTTTACACAGGAACAAGTAGCTTAATTTAGCATTCCATTCAACCTGCCACAGTTGAATGTATAAACTGCATGTGTTTACATCATTAGGAGCCACAAATAGCTCAAAGTGACATCACACCGCCAGTTATATACACAATATGTGACACTTCAGAGGACTAGCTCAGCGGGATGGGAGCAACCAAAGGTATAAAAGGAGGTCAGCAAAGCAAGACCCTCAGGACGAGATGGAGGACACCTGTGAGTGCGCAGCCCTCCAGCATGTGGGAGAAAAATGCCCAAAATGTGTGGCCATCAAACCTTTCCAGCATCTTCCTGGCTAACTAATGTAGATATGAAGCCCTGGGATATGTCTTAGTCTTCAGTCTGCAATACCTGCTTTTATTGCTTTCTCTTAAAGGTGCCATTGAATGCATTTTTTCTTTATTCTAAATTGTTCTCTGGTGTCTACATACAAAGTAGGTGAACTTGGTTTGCTCAAGAGCCCACAGACATGTGACTGTTCTGCTGAGGCCAGGGCATGAGCAAGCGATCTTCCAATCACAGGCACAGAGACTTAGCCCACTGAGCCAATCACCAGCCCCCATTGATGAGCCCTGTTTGCCTGGTTTACAATGAGGCGCTGTGATGGCTCACACACAACCAACATCAACAGTCACGCACCGCATCATGATGTTTCAGTCAACAACGGACTACATTTATGAGGGTGGTCCCTCAAGATTATAAGGGAGCTGAAAAATTCTTATCACCTAATGACATTGTAGCACAGCGCATTACTCATGTGTTTGTGGTGATGCTGATGTAAACAAACACCACACAATTTTGCACAGTACATAATACTTGATAATCAATAAAAACCTATGTTACTGGTTTATGTGTGTATTATACATACATCTTTATTATATGCTCATTATTTTGGTGTACTCTTTCTATTTTACCACAGAATTAATACTCCCACTTCAACCTAGGAACTATGATAACATAGTCATAACTTTTTTTTTTAACACTGCAACAAGAACTTTGTATTTTCACCTCTGTAAACAAATGATTATACGATGCTAGCTCCATTAGCTCATAAATGTGTTGTCTGTAATGAATTAGGATGACTGATTTTTTTTTTTTACTTCAGTATTGATTAGATATTTGTTTAGCTAACCAAAAGTAGGTTACAGTACAGAAGCTGTCGATGTCGGTATCATGCACTTTGTAATGTTGTTTAATCCTTCCCTGCTAACCTGGGGTACATTTCCCAAAGGCACATCTCATACAGCTGGAACCGTGCAACTGAAAGGTATCAACAATAGACACTTTCACACCCAAGCTCTGGAACCAGGTCCCTTGTTACAAGTTCCTGGGATGTCTCAACTGGAAACTTTTGAAGCTCCAGGCCACATTCAAGTGCTGCATTCACAGTGCACAACAGAACCGGGACTTAATGCTAAATAAGCATGGGAAATGCAAAAAGCTCATAGGTTAAACTTCACAGATAAATTGAAACTACACCACCACCCCCAAAACAATGTAAACAAGGTGTTTTGATAGTTATTTGTTAGTTACTGGGGGAAACAACTGCGATCAAAATGGGACACAGCCTTTTATTTATGTCATCCATAAGACCCTTGACATTTAGATTCCATTATTATTGCTGGCAGATTAATCTTTCCGTTTCACAGAATAAAAAACAATGAACCATATTCTGCTAAAAAGTGCTGATTTCACCACTGGTGATATTAGACAAACAGTGTTTGAGCTTCATGGTATGTCAGTTACATATACCAAATTCTCCTTATTCATACTAAGGTAAAGTCAGATTTTCATTCTATGGCACCTTTAAACCAGTTTGAGGGAATTCAAAGATTTACATAACCACAATGGATATTACCGTGATCTGCTTTTGTGGCACCAGAACTTTTAGGATGAAGGTGGGCTATTCATCCCTCAACACACATGCTGCACAAATGAGGTTTTAAGGGAAAACCACTAGACCTACAATGCCAAGCCCCACAATTCTGCTACACTGCTCTGTCTCTCTGGATGCTGAGGTCCTTCGGCTGCCCAAAGAGAAAAGAAGGCGGGGCTCACTGGGCTTAACAGGTGCATGGGACAGCAGCCAGGATGCTGCACCCAGACAACAGCCCTGTCACATGAGGTCTTCGAGGACATGCAAAAAAATATATTTTAAACTAAATATGCATCGGAGTGAGTGTTATCTCTCACAGCATATTTTGATTTAGTCTTAATATTTTGATGAAAATGCAATTGTTTGTTATATTTAAGTCATCTGATTTTCCCCCCAATCCATCTCAGTAATCCAATCCATCAACAAAAATTACATTAAATGTAGTCAACTAAATATACTTTAGTCATAGTGTAATACATTATTTTCACATTTCCTTGCAAATTTCACTTAAATTTTCTCTGTAATACATGGACACAAATTGATCTACCTTTATTCTCTATAGATTCCTGAAGGAAACATCTGTAAATCTGTCTTTTATGGCATGACATTAAGCTTGAACATGTATAGAATTTAAATAAAGAAAATTCAAGTGTCCTCTCTCAGCTTTTTAAATCTTGCCAATAAAACTTGCTGAAAGTACCAATTTTGTTGAGCTTTCAAAATACCGCTGTATATCGTATTAGAGTGTCTACAGACTATACGAAGAGAACTGCATGGTTTCTACTTATAAGATGGATGCAGGGTATATGCACTTATAGGCGGACATTAGCTAATCATGCCCAGCTACAATAAACACAAACTACTGTAAAGATACTACCTGGAATTTGATTAGATTCAAATTAATTTCTTCTTGACATTTTAATCTTGTTTTTATTCGTTGAGGAAAGGGTCAGGACATTTAGTCATACAAATTACTCTGATGCCAAAAAGTATTTTATTATCGTCTGGTTTTCGTCAATGAAAAATTTTTGTTGACGAATAATTTTCATCATAGTGTTCAATGAACTGAACATTGATTGGAGTGCATTCAGGGTGCCCTGTAAACAGTGGCCCGCTAGCTACCATTTCACATCCACTGCTTATTGCGAGAATGTAAGCTAATGAAGTCATCAGAGCCCAGACAGACCCTTATCCCCAATCCACAGCGTCCATGCCATGCATTATTCAGGGTGTCTGCCTGCCAGGGGCAGCCTTTGTCCCCGCTGATTAGGAGCACCAGCGCTGAGGCCTGGTAGAGGCACAGAAGAAACTCGCTCCTCAGGTTTTCTCAGAGATGCTGAGACCTGTATCAGACAAAGACTAACGCTCAGGCTGACCGACCTTGTGCTCTCACCTGTGTGCCTCTCTATGTAAAGAAAAAAGCAGGTATCTAAAAGAATGACCACTAAATGTCGGAACAAATTTATGGAAGAAGTAAACACATTACAATGTTGTAGGAACACTGGTATATGGTACACTAAGATAGTCAAAAACCTTTGACAAAATACACACCACATATATACACATGTATCTCTCAAAAAAGCTCATTAAACGGTGAATAGGATGCACAGCTCTCTGTAAGATGTGCATGTTTACAGCAATAACTATTCACTGCCTAATATTATTTGGAACACTGTAAACAACTGCATATAGGTGATTTGTTTAATTTCCATATATCACAAGCAGCAGCAAAACATCCTGTCTGTAGCAGTTCCTCTGGCTAAAACCTAATTTTATTTTTTTGCCAGAATGATCAGGCAAAAAAATAAAATTAGGTGGTAGCCAGGTCTGATTAAAACCTACCACGATTGATGAGGATTAGTAATGACGTACTGTACTCTCTGCCTGAAATTTTTTTTAAAGAAGCAGAAATCTATCTGCTCCCATCCCTGTAAACACGCTTGCACAAGCAGTTCAGGTGTGCAGGAGTTTTTGCATTTTTAGTTTTCCAATTGCAGTTTTTTTTGGAAAGAAAATTTGAGTTTCCCTTATGGAGACCTTACAATCAAAAAATGGGTATTCATCATGTTGTGGGGACATTTGGTCCCTACAAGGTAAGGTATATATCTGGGCCACCCACCCACACCCACACTCTTCCCTTATCAGTAGTATTTCAGTGTTGCACATAGATCGAGGGTAGTGTGAGCCTACCTGTTCTTCTCCATTTCATTGTGTGTGGACCTGCAGGAAAAAAAACAGAGGACATGACCATAGATTCCCTCTCCATCATGGTGGTAAGAGGAAGTTAACAGGAGCATGTTTACAAGATTATGCACTGTACTACGCCAGGATTGGGGGCATTTTATCACCAATGTATGGGCATCTTGAAGCCTAAGACACTGGGACACTGGCTTATGAGCGGGAAATGTACCGTCACACACACAAGGGTAAACTTAGCAACGGTAACCAGAAACACAGGCCAGAAAGAGAGCTTCTGCAGCTCAGTGGTGCTGCACTGTTTTCCTCTCACACATGATACCAGGCTATAAAGTGACCACCCCCAGCACAGAGACACACGCCTCCATGTGTCAGAGCTGCTTGAAGCGCGGGTGCCCATAGCGGCCCCCTGCCCACGCTGCCAACACACTGCGCTATTACACAACAAACAGAACCGCAGACAACCACAGCCGTGCCTGTGCCGTGGACGTGCATTACTATTGAGATGACACTGGTCTTTTAAGAGAAGACAGAACCTTTTGTGAAACCAAAGATGATTTGGAGCCAGAGTCACACCTTGAGATTCCCACAGAAGATATTCTTGCTTAAAGAACATGGGGGAATTATTCATCTCTCTCATACAGGAGAGATACTGCTAACCTACAATGTTCTCTTTCAGACTGACATATATACACATGCATCTACAAAAACATAATCTGTGCAAGGGATCATTCATTTCAAAAATACATACACACATACGCAAATCTACAAAAACCATAATCAAAAAGGCTCAAAATCATTCACTACAGAAAAATACATTTACAGATCCTCTAAAACAAGGTTTCTCAACCCAGTCCTCAGGGACCACCAGACGGTCCACGTTTTTGCTCTCTCCCAATTGGCAGGGAATTGGGAGAGAGCAAAAACATGGACCGTCTGGTGGTCCCCGAGGACCGGGTTGAGAAACCCTGCTCTAAAACAGACTGAAACTGGAAAACATTTTCACTGTAAAACAGACTTGCTCTGAACTCCTTTAAAATCTAAATGATCCTGCATTTCCATTCACAACTTCTGCATGCTGTAAAACACAGTGGCCATCACAACGATTTACCAGCTCAACTTTTTATTAGGGATGGGCATTTCGGGTTCAAATAATATTCAGCTAACCCCACCCACCCCCATCACACACAGAGAACTGTATATGGATCAAATTATTTCTTTCCATTCAAAATGAGATATTACTCATTACTGCAAAAGGATAACAATAAATAAGATATACAATAAAGTTTAACAGACTGTGCCTTGGACAGTTACACTGAATGGGAATTTCTTTATTTTTAACAAAACAATCCTTACAATAAGTCTCTGGCTTATAAGCTACTGTATTAATTTATTTCCACACCATAGGAGGCATCACTTGCTCATCATAAAAAGGATCATTTAAAACAAGTAACCGAGAAGCTACAGCTGAATGAATTTCCCAAATATCAGACGATATTTGAAATCTTTGCAATGGATATTACGATACTCATAAAGCAAAAAAGGAGTTGGAAATTACATGAAATACACTAAAATCAAAGAGAAGTTATTATATACCAAAAAAAAACAGTTTTACTGGGAAAAGCAAACCAGTAGTTCACGTTCTCGTTAACTCATCAAAAAGTCCACTGGTACGCTGACAATTCACGCTTATTAAAATTTTATTAAGAATGAATTTCATAAAACATGAATTTCAAGAACATTCTTAACAGTAGCCATGACAACCTAAATGTACATACAAACTTAAGGGCAGCAGCATAACCAGATTCTATTACTATACTTGTTGCCGCAAGTTGTGCCAACAAACACAAAGCAGTGCTGATAAATCACTTGCTTTTGCTCCATATCTCCTCTATGGAATACAAAATATTTCCATGCAGCGAAAAAGGAATGTCATCTGATCAATTCTTTTTCACTTGAACCTCGCACTCATTTTTGTACAATTTCTCACAAACACACCACACTATGAGTGAAAAAGGAAGAAAACGATTATTATTGGCTGAGAGAGCGCATGTAGAGCTCACATAAAAACAGCAGAGGAAAGCTTCATAATAAATAAACCACAACCTTATTAGAGAACAGATAAATCACAACTAATTATATTGCTGCTAAATAATATTTTAAACAGCTCATTAAATTATTCAATTTTAAGAATTTCTTTTCAATTTTATACATATTCTCAAATATTCCACAATGCTGATTCATCTGTACTATTTATTTATGATAAAAAGGTGCCTGTTTCATCCTGCAGCTCCATATATTTCCACAGCGGACTCTCATTGGCACACTTTTTGTTCTCCAGCCAGAGGTCACAACAATGTGCTTCATATAGAGGCTGAACTGGTTATCAGTAACTGTTCCAAACGGAACCACCTGCTTCCCAATGCCTTTCCTCATCAGAATTGACCTATAGAACATTAAACAGACTATGCCCTATGCATACTGGTATTTCCAATAGAGAACTGGTTCTCCCTTTTCCCTGAGATTTTTCCTATTGATATTGCTTTTTGGAGAGCAAAAATATTCTCTCTACAAATCTTTGCTCTCATCTTCAGACATGGCTAATGACTGGGCATGCAGAGCAAGTGAAGAGAACCCCCAACAGAAAGCAGATTTCTGGTCCAAACACAAGCTGCAACCCTGACAGGAACACAGGCTAATGAGTGTCAGTCCCCATATCTAATGCATGTGTGAGTGAGCTAACTGGAGACTCCATTTTTGCAACCAAGAAGCTACAGAAACTGCTGAGAGGGAGGGGGTTGGGAACAACACCTCCAACACACACCAGGAACACACTCCCATCCCCCACACACCAGGGACAGAGGGAGGGTGAAAGACATCACGAATAAAGATGGACAAGAGGGAGACGTGCAAAGAGGATCCTTGGGTTCCCCTGCACTCCAGCTGTGCTCTGGGGCTAACGGCTTGTACTGTTATCAAGATCATTCAAGCAAGTAAATACCACTAACCATTTAGTGGGATTATCTTTAAGTCCCACTTTACATAATACCCATAAAACAGTAGGAACAATTTGTATTTGTACAGCATAACAATTACGCAAGTACCTACAACACAAACTGCCACAAATGTATCAAGTGGTCAGCCATTCAGTGAATGCTGTTCCTTGCAGTTACATAATCACGACTCTATGTAAATGTACCAGTCCGACTGGTTCCACATGTAAAAGGCAGTGGGAGCTAATATTACATTTTAACACACAAGGTTAAAAGGTTTAAATGATCAACCAAAAATTAATTCAAAATGTTGTCATAATATTGTAGACAGAAATTTGTTTAAAACAAATGGCCATTTTTTTTACAATGCCCAAACTAATTAGCATTAACAGCTGGTTAATTCAATACAATGTTAATTCATGATAATCATCATCAAAAAAACATGCAATTTTAATCACTGCTCTTCTTGATCCAGACTTGCCACCAAAGACAGCATGTCTATAACCAACTAATGAAAGCCACAGCAGACATACAGTCACAAATCTGGGAGAGTTATAATGCTGACCACTCCTCAGTCAAAGGTGCCTCTATCTGAAGAACCCGGCCACCACTCAGAGCAGCACCATAGATGGTACACAGCTTTTACACACAACGCACCCAAAGACGACTATGCCTGATGACTCAGGCAGCGTGTGAACATAGAAGTCAATTCCATGTATGTGGAAGCTCTGTGGCACCTTCATGAGTCAATTAAAGAGAATGAGGAGTTAGCTGATGATTAGAGGCACAGAAAAAATTAAATGTTAGTCTTATGCTGTATAGTTCAAATATCTGGCTTTAGCAAATGACAGTGGCAACCATTATGAAGCGGCCATCTCCGTCAGTGAAAGGACACAAACACTAGGTTAGTCGATCAAACTGTTCTTAGTGAACCTTGCTAGTTTATTAAGGGTCACTTTTATCACAATCAAAAGCAATCTTCACTCCTTTCTTCCATTAGAGAACATTCTGGTAAACGATGATATGCTATGCATAAAAACACAAGACCACATGAAACTGAACAATTCATATTTTTCAACACGGTTCATGTAGCATACTGCAAGGTGTTGCAAGGAAAGCCTATAACAGGCACATAACGAAAGACTGAGCAGGGTGTCAGGGGAGGTGTCACAACCCACACTATGATTATGTGTATGAAGCCCACAATATCATCTGACTAGTGGACAGAATGTATCAAGGGAAGTACATTCCATATCTCCATAAAGACCCTCCCCAAACACTTTAACAAGTGATTAGAAAAAGTCATAAAAAGCTGGTTTCTATCGTATTACAGTACAGCTTTTTCCCCCAAACCAACAGGTAGAACTTCGCTAAATCTTTGCATGAAAAAAAAACCTTCAAAACTTAATACAGTAATGTGAATTTTTATGAAAAATTAGGATGGTAATAGAGTGTTTAAATATATACACATATCATTGTATGTCCTGTGTTACTACTGCTGAAAGATTTACAATGGAATATGAAGCACTTTCATCTTTTCTATATTGGTTATTAGGAGTCAACCAATGATTTTGATACTAGAAATTTTCATGTGTGGAAACTGTAGTGTTAGATGCTTTTGACATGATGATCACCCCATCAGCCGTGTTTTTATTTTGTGATGTATAATTAGTGGTAAGACATGCATGTTTTCATTCTGTGAAGAGTGTGTGGCTGACATCTGTAATAGTACATTTTTAAATATGATATTAAATGTAGTTCAGTTGGCATATATGTGTTTCTATGGAGAGGTTTACACTAAAAACTCCCCACTTTTTAAAACTGGCTGGATCCAGTTATTCTCAACGCTACATCAAAATCCTTTGTGACTATGTGAGAAAGTACATGCCGGCATTTCAGTCTCCATTCATACAAGGCAGAAGCTTCTGCCTTGTATGAACCCAATGAGCCAAACCTAATATTTGAATAACATAAGGTTCCTATTACCAGAAAGGCTTAGTGTATAAATAGCAATGACCCCTGCTTTGCCCGGTCCATCTTTAATACCCAGTTAACTAGGGTTACTGACTGTATAGATGTCCTGACACAAATTTTGTGTATAGAAGTAGACACCAAAATGCACTTCCAAAACATGGATTTGGAATGTTTCTCCACTGAAGACATCTTAGGCAGACCTTAATCTGCATGCACTTTGTTCTTGCTCCATTTCTAACTAACTTTCTGCAGCCCTAATGTTCTTTTCTGACAGCATTCATCAAGACGTTCAACAGTTTAATATCTGTGTCTCTGACAACTTTCCATGGTCAGGGAGTAGCCTGATTATCAAGGAGAAGCCATTTTATCCTTTTGATTAACAACCAAAATATTTCAGCAAATTAAAAGCAGTATATAAAAAGCAAACAAGGTATGAGTTTTGCACTGCAACCTGCTTAGACAGAATTACAGCTTCGTACAAAAGCCGTTGGCAGTCAAAGAAAAGGCTTAACATTATTTATCTGGGTAGTAAGTGTATATTGGCTCAGGAAAAAAAAAAAACTGATATAACATTATAACAGGGCTACCACTAACGACGATTTCTGGCGATTAATCTATCAAATTTTACCAATTAATCGATTAATCTGAACGTTTAATTTTTTCCCATTTAAGTTACATTTATTTTAACAACAACAAACTATGTCATTGCAGGGCTTTAGATAATGGATGCTGGTGTTTCTGGACTATGTGTATGGATGTTACTTATGCCTACAATTTGATAAGCAGAGTAGTAGTATGATTAAAATAATAATGAGGGGTGTATTATGATACCCAAAAGTTAATTTGTATAAATTCAGCATATCCTTAAACATAACAAATTTGATCAGCGGAGTGCACACAGTGTCAAAAGGGACAGTTTAGCAGCCACAATAAAAGGAGGAGAGGAGAGGAGAGGAGATACTGTGGTTAAAAGGCAAAAAGACGTTGGTGGTGCGGCGATACCTTTTGAAGTTTAAAGTCTGACATATTTTTTGGTAAATATAGTGTTCATTTTTATTTCAGTTCACAGTTTTCTTTTAATTTAGTGACCATTTTCATTTTGATAATAACACTGGTCCCAACAAGCCCAACGAGCACAAACACACGCCAATACCAAAAGAAATTAAAAAGCTCTCCATACTAATGGTAATTTAATAAACATGAACAGACAACACTTTTGCCTATTGTGTTGGTCCAGAATAGCACCTGTGTGTTTCCTCTTCAGAAGCTTTGCACAGTATAGAAACCAGCTTTTTGTTTTGTGATAAAATCACTTCCTGTGACTGCCTAAGACTTTTTACACATGTATTTGAATACCTTTACGAAATTAGATGTCACTGGCACAATACTGCCAGTCACAGTTAACAAATCTGTGTTGGTGACATCTGTTAGAAATAAAGAAATTTGTATTGGTCCATGCCAATCTTAGTCGATATTTAAACTTCATCAATACTAAAAGTTAGCAGCACCAGAGCTAAACATGCAACTACTAAAATGATTCCATTTTCCATAGTGAACGACAAGGGATTTCATCAGCTCATTCATCCCCTTAGAAGTAGGATTGCCACGTCCAATCTAAAGAAATGAGACAGCACCCCCGCCCCCCCCCCGATAATAAAATTTATCGAAGGGAGGAGTGAGAGAAACTATGACATGGTCGGAGGTTAAGATCACATCCTGTATTAGGTCAAAATGAGACATGGCATTTTATTTTACAATATGGGATAGGTGGCAACACTATTTAAAAGAGGTGTCAAAGTATTGGCCCACAAAATGATTTTATTTAAAATGATCTGTCAAAATTCCCATATTGGCGCACCACTAATCTATCCATCTGCCACTGGTTATCCTGGACAGAGCTGTGGAGGGCCCCAAGCCTATTCCAGGCAGCACACAAGACAGAAGTAGACGTACACCTTGAACAGGATGCAGTCCATTGTAGGGGATATACATGCACACAATCACACACTACTGGTAATTTTGAAATGTCAACTGGCCTAACTGCAAGTCTTTGGACTGTGGGTGGAAACCCGTGTGACAGGGAGAACATGCAAAAGGCACACACAGTGGGGAGATGGGATTCACGTCTCAACCCAGGAGGTGTGAGGTAACAGTGCTACCCACTGAGCCACTTTGCACTATTAAAACAAGAAAAAATTAAAAAGTATTTCCCCCCATTTTAATGACTAACCTTTTTTACTGATTATTTTGCTTAAGAGTTCATTAGAAAATGTTTGCCGGTCTATGTGGCAACTATAAGACTTTAGATGTCAAAATAAATCATAACAGTGTAGGAATTCCAAGCCAAAAACACACAGAATGACCAGGGCACCAGCAGCAGGACAAATTACTCAAAGGACTCAATCCATGTACTGCATGGATCCACACACAGCTGTGATGATGCTGTTTAGTATTAGAGTGCATTGTTCAGGCTAATCACCAAAACAATTGGCACAGGTCACCTGCTGCTGGACTCTGTTCCTGCATAAAGCAGCTTGTACACAACACTGATGCGCTAACAGAAGGCACGAGTGAAAATGCCACAGTGCACAATCAGCTCAGGTTACCTGCTGCTGGAATTCTTCTTGTTTTTACTCTTTCGCTTCAAGCTGTCTCTCTCTTTGCTGGTGCTATAGGGCAGCATGGAGGCATAGCCGTGTTCAGCCTCTGCAAAAAGTCGGGAGGGTTTACATACAAATTATTCAAACACAATCAACACAGGGACTGGGAAAAGAGGGCACTAACAAGGAAGACATCAAACCTTTCCTGTAGTCCCTAAATTATACAGACATAAAAAGACTGCAATTTCAGTGTGTAGTGTTCACACACATAGCATATATTCATATTTGAAAATCCACTGCTCTAACTTCAATGATGTCATCTGAACTCGAGTAAACCCTTTACCCAGCCAAACCACAACAGAAAAGAGGGGGGGATGCATTTGGTTCCATCATTTATATTCAAGATTTAATCAAACTGACAACGGGATTTCGTCAAGGTAAAGAAACATACCTCGATGCATCTACGTCGGAGCCCTGTACTTGTCTGGGTTATATTACTACATGTCATTAAAACTGAAGTATTCAATTTGACAGACAAACAAATGTAAACAGTTGGCTGTATGTGAAAATGCTCTTTCCTCGGCTCTGCACATACGGACCTCGCTCCTTTGGATGCCTGTGTCTTTACAGTCAATCTAAATATCACGGAGATGCAGAAACCCTTGGTACTAAGACATTACTACACACACACCAAATCATGGGAAACGTCTGACTTAATATAGTCACCCCTACCTGATCGGCCGTCCACAGCCCCCCCCCCCACATTCAGGCATGGTACAACGTACAGATGTCAGCCAACACACGGGGGGTGTGAAGGATCATTAATGTCACTGTACCTCTCTCCCTGCGCTCAAGGTACTCCGCAGCCTCGATCAGCATCTGCACCATCCCCACCGCCGCCATTTTCCACAATGACGCCGATGGACGGCTGGCTTTCAACGCTGTTTCAGCCCCCAGCTCAGTTTACACCAAAACGCTGCTGGTCTGTTAACGCGAGCCGCTTATTCCATATACCTGTAGAGTATGGAAAATCCTCCGAATAACGACTAACTGATATATTTATATGTGACTGTTTTTAGCTAAGCTGACGAGCAACGATGCTTGGTAGGCTCTGCCCAGCTACGGGTGTTATTTGAGTATAAAATCGCTGATGTCGACGCCTGTCCCGTCACATTAATAATAAAATAAACAGTAACGGTTGCTGCCACTGACACACAGCGTCTGCTAGCTGCTCGGCTAACTCCTCGATGGCTCGCCTTTCCGTCTGACCGATAGTAAGTTAGCCACCGATGAGAGGACCAGAGAATGAGAATGTTTCAGTCTAAAATTACCAACAAAAATGCTTTTAAGTTCACCACAGAAACGACAGCTTAACTGACATATAGGTGGCTAGCTATGAGCTGGCTTAAAAACATTAGCACTCCAAATAACCCTCCAGCTACGAATAAAATACCACTTAGTTGACTGTGTGTGTTAGCTACCTTGCTAAATGTATTTATATAAAAATATTTCCGAATAGTCAACGAGAAAAATAACAAAAAAATACACTAAATAAGTGCAACGACAGCGGGGCCTCTTCCGATTTAAGTGCACCTGTGCTCTTAGCCTGTGAGCTACCGAAACGAGCAACGCGGACCGCCAGTCTCGAGCCGCGCTAACTGACCGGGCCGAGTAGAGCCGTTTGTTTATTAAAAACGGCAAGAAGGGAAAGCGTAGCTGCCAAGCGGCACTGCCGAAAGAAAGATCGCTGCCTACTGTCTCACTGCTCCGCTATTGGTTACGAGGTGATATGCACCGTCTTCTCATTGGTACGCGCTCCCGTCAATCTCACGACAACAACATAATATTTCTTGACTTGTTGTTAAGCTGTCAAAAGGGTCTAGAAACTGGTAACTGCAGAACTCGCCATTTTGAAACAGATCTATATGTACCGACGCTGCATCCTGCCGCACATTCCGGAGCCGTAATGGAGGACATTTCCGTAGCAAGGGTCTCGAGTGAATCGTTGGAGGATTTTTATTGGCCAATTTCCCTCATTCAATGAACAGTTCTTTTTGGATTGGCTGCCGCCTGCCATGCGCTACTGCAGCAACGCCCCTAATCCCAAGAAAACAGGCCAAGTTCACGTGATGCTAGAAGTCTCCCACGTTGAAGAGGAGCATTGGTTTGGCCATATGGTTGTTTTGAGCTCCCTGATTGGTTCAGTGCCTACGTCAGTTATTTGATCATTTTTAGCATAATTATACTTTGCATGTTTACGATGCATGGCTAAAATGTGATTTGTTTATTAAAATAAAAGCGCTCAGACATTTGTTTACCCTGCAGAACATCCCAAACGTAACAGCAGTGGTTAACGAACGCAAGAAAAATGGAAACAAGGTAAAATACTGTTTCAGATAAAAACTTGTCTTTGAGTCTATTAGGAAGTGCAGGCAATAACTAAAATATGCAATGTTACTGGCTGTCGGTAAAAGATTTCAGATGAATCTTTATTAATAGAAACAGATAAGCACTTGAATGAAAAGTTGTGCAATTTAAACGGGTAAAAAGCAAATTTATATTTTACAGCATTAGGATATCATTTAATTCCAGACATATTTTTGACCTTTACCAGACTACCAAAATAGTCAAAATATGAATTGGATTTACTGTTAAGATGCAATAAGAATATATGTGAATAAAGTATTATCAACATAGGGTAACTGTCCAACATGAAGTCAGACTGAAGAACATAAGTGACAGAACAGTCTTGACAAGCACTGCAGACCAGGAGAGGGCATTAGATAGTCCTACAGAGATTCATAACAGCATTTCTACATGGAAGACAGAGTAGTGAGAGAGAGATGTCCTCTCCATCCTTTACTACCAAGTAGACCCCCAGCAGGTAGTCTCAGTGCTGTGCAGAGAAGCATCCTTAAGTCAGTGCCCCATATCTGCAGCCATATCTTCCAACCCAGTGCCCAACGTCACGAGAATCCATTCATCCCTCATGCTCATCCCTGCAGTGAGTAAATCAGCACTCCTGAAAATCTCCCGTCATCATTTAAAGGCATTTTAAGAAGATCAAACAGCTGGGTCATTCAAAAGATTTTATTTTATATGAAGCTTCAGTTACAACATTGCTATATCCTATAACTAAGTCAATGTCCCTCATATATATATATATATGAAAAAAGTGAAATTTAAACCAGGGTAAGGTGGTCAAGCCAATGAATTCATAGGGTTCATTATTCCTGAATACCTAATTTTCAAGTCAATGTATGCATCTTTTATACAATGGAATATGAAGAGGGGCAGTGAAGTAATACAAACAAATACAGTTTTCCAAGAAATTGAAGAAACTACCATGTAATTTTTATAAACAAAGACACAATGCAATAAGAGAAATCATACCAGACATTACGGACCTTGATAAACAATTCTCATACGCATGAAGTCATTCAAGCAATGAAATCCAGGGGTCTGTTGAATCCACCTTTTCTGTTCATGTACTGCCTATAAGAGAGATTACAATTACATCATTGCTGCCCCCCTTACCAACATTCATGGCACAATACATTACATCATCATCTACCAATGGGATTGCTGTGCTTGCAGCAGTGAAGCACCTGCTGATGTTATTTGGTTGCAATGTGATTGGCTGCTGTGTGCACAGGCTCCCTGGAGTATCATGCAGTTATGTAGGTCTAAGATACTGATGCACAAACAGGAAGGCATAACATGGACTGCACAATTCGCAGTCCTGCAGCAAAGCACTAAAGCATGCATAAGGACTGAACAGATAAAATACTCAACACTTCAAATACTGAAGCCAAAAACTTAGAATAAGAAGGGTGCCTTCATATCACTGAAAAAATAGGACCCTGAGCAATTAGGACTGTTAGAAACAGGTTAACACAAAGTTTCAAAGCGAGTACATTTGAGCCCAAACCAACCTGTATTTTCTCTTCTGACACACGTTGATTGCATGTGCATTGACTGATCCGTCGACTTTCTTTCCCTGTTGGGCGTGAAACAGAGAAAGCAAGAAGCACTGACTATGATTAGCAACATGGGCATCATCGCCATCTTCTGGTGTGTAAGAGAACTGCAGGAACTGCAGTCAAAGCTGCAGGCTACTTGACAAAATGTATATATAAAAAAAAGTAAAATAGCTACATCAGTGCCAGTTACCATTACAGAAGCTGAATTTACCTTGGTGCTGTCAAAGGTACTGAAGCCCATCATTTTCAGCATCTCAATCTCCTCCTCTGTTTTGCCCTGCATTTCTTCCTCTGAGCAAGAATCACATACACCATAAATACAACAGTGGTCAATGAGACATCATGCATCATTAATAGTACAAATTAAAAAAAAAGGTTACAAAAGTACCACATAAAAGCCAAGGAGCTGTTATACAGATAACAAGAGAGTCAACATGTGCAGCAGCTTAATGTTAATTTCCAAGCATAGTTAGTGTTCATGACTCTTATATTAAACTGCAGGTCATAAATAGGTGCAAGATGAAATACCCAGTTAGTGCAACTACGAGATCAATAGAGCATTTACAAAATGAAAGGTCAGCAACACTGGGTTATAAGGTTCCCCCCCCAAATGCACCTTGCTGCCTGACATAATTCCCCACTATCTCAGAAATCTTTTCCAGCTCAGACACCCTTTCACTGGAGCATCCCAGTGCATCCCTGCCTGTCAGTCACTTGCCCCCCTTAACCCTATAGCTAGATATTCCTTTCTGCACCCTGCATACTCTGTCAGGCAATCACTGTCAGGCAATCTCCTTCACGATACAGACATGAAATACTGCAGCTCTAGCACTCTGTCACACTGCAGCTAGGGGTGGGAGGTACGCCAGTGTCATTCATTACCGGTGTGACTGTCAATGTTTACTTTTTTTTAACCAACCATATGAAGTCATTTTTTATACAAATCAACTGAGATAAAGCAAAATACAGACACTCCTCTACATTCGAACTTTCAGACATACAAAGAGGACTGTAAGTCCAAATTATGCTCATTGGGCTCCCGTTTCCTGTCCGCAACATCATTTTTTTGTTTTCTGCGTGCCAATTCCGCCTAGTACGACTTCTGGCCGCTAGTCCCGCTGCGTAGCGTGCGCACTCCCAGCATCCTAGTTCTTTGTACTTGTGTATACCCTTAAAATGATGTTGAATAACGACTTACAAACATTTCAAATTACGAACGGCCGTTCAGAACATCTCACTCCTAAGTAGAGGAGCGTCTGTACATACATCTTCAGGGTTGCGTACTCTCACGCAACTGGTGTGACACACCTGCGTAAGAAATCTTACGGAAAATATATTATTCCATTATAAACCTAATATTAGCGACATCAAAAGCATTTAGGGTAGCTTGCAAACACTACAGACTATTTACCAGGTAATAACACTGTAAAAGCATGTGCTTGTGCCTACAGACTTATCTTGAATTGAAAATCTCACTGAACAAAGTTGGCAACCCAGCGTTTTATTTGAAATGAACTGTAAAATGCACTGTTTTTGGCTGAAGCAGCTTATCATTCACTTTGCATTTTGAACTGAATGAGAAAACATTACTTTTCAAACTAAGACCACCCATACCCAACTGTAACAGTGTTTAAAGTGTACTTAATATATTATAAAAAAATAATAATAATTTACATAAAGACTGGACATGCTATGCCTCCCAAAACTTGGAAAAAAGTAATACCGCAATATACCATCACCATCATAAAAATGAAAAATACTATGATAATTTAGGTCATATCACCCACCCCTAACTCTAACTACAAATATGGTATAAATGTTCATGTTTCATGTAATTTTCCCACCTACAATACAGAACTGAAACTAAGGTGCATCTGGTCAAAAGTCAACACACAAAGAGAAGTACCTGCAGGACCACCAACCCCAGGGATGGTGTCATTCACATTAAACTACAGAGGGCCTCTCACGACTCCAGAGAGCACAGCTCCAACCTGCGAACTGCATCAGAACCGCCCACAAGCCTGTCACCTAACTGCAGTGTGGGAAGTGCCTGGCCCCTGAATGACAGCAGGGCATGGCATTGGGAAAAAAACCCTCTCAGGAGCTATGGCTGTGCAAGACCTGGATTTCTGCATGGATGTTTCCCAAAATGTGATCTTCAACTAAGTAATAATAATGCAGTGCATGTGAAAACCATAATCTCTTCTCAAACGTAAAGCAGGTTGGAGGGAGTATAATGTGGGGCTACTTTTGATTTTGCTGCCAAAATAACTTTGATCTAAAACTCAGAAGCTGGGTCATACAACAGGCAAATGATACCCAACACAGGAGTGACTCAAACATAAATTGTGTACTTAGAAGGGACAGGTCAGAGTTCTGACCTAAGACCCACTGAGATGTAGCACGACCTGAAGCAGGCCGTTGACTTAAAAATATAAAAAATGAAGTGAAAGTTTTTATAGCAGAATGGACAAAGAGTAACTTCTGCAGAAATCGTGTAGTTGAGGTTATTTCCAAGAAAGTTGATTACTGAATACAAAGGTTCACTTCCATTTACCATCAAATGTCTTTCCTGGAAAAACCCAGGAGCATCTAAACCATTTTCCAATTATATTACCCAAGTCTTGGACATTATCAGACATTAAAAAATTGAAGAAACAGAAACCTGAGATCTGATGCTCCCTCACAACTTTCTCCTTCACCTCCTTCTTTTCTTCCTCACGCCGCTCCTTCTGACGCGTGGGAGATAGTGAGGATGACCGGTGTCGCCGTGGAGACCTACGTAGAGAGAACATATACCGGCTTTAAAATATAGACATAGCCTGGCAGCTCCAGCTCCTCCTCATGTCCAAGTTGCACCTTCCCAGAGCGCAGCTCACCTCCTTCAATGGTAAAATGCTTTTCTTAATGCGCTAAAATTTAGCACAAGATTCAAAGTTAACAGTTCAGGTCAGGTTTGCATTAAAATCATGTTTTTTTCCCCCCCATCAGCTGTAATGTTAATTTTCCATTAGTCACTTTGATTTCTCAAGTTAAGATATTTCTACATTGATTTCTGTTCTCTGTCTTTGTATTTTGACTTATTTCGCTTACCATACTGCTGCCAGAACTTCACTTACTAGCTAGATTCTCCGAGAAGTAAGACGCAATCTGCGAATAACGATATTTTCACAGGGACATTACATGATGTGACATGATGTGAATGCATAGAGAAGAATATAATCTGTGGTGATAAGCCATTTAGATGCATTTTTAAGTTTCATTTACATGTTTCAAAATATTCATGTATTACTTAACCAAAAAAAATCCATGTTAACTTAAAATAACTTTTAGATGACATTTCTCAGTTTGTTGTATTGCTATAAAGTGGTAACAACATGCCTACAAATTAAGATACTGCATCTTTAAGATAGTGATCACACACACACACACACACACACACACACACACCACTATTAGGCACACCTTGCTAGTGCTGGTTTGGATCCACTTTGGCCTTCAGAACTGCCTTAATCTTTATAGCATAGATTCAGCAAGGTGCTTGAAATATTCCTCAGACTTTGGTCTATGTTGACATGACATCATGCAGATGCTGCAGATTTGTCGGCTGCACCTACATGATGCAAATCTCCTGTTCCACCACATCCCACAGCTGCTCTATCTGGTGACTGCGGGGGCCATTTGAGTATAGTGATCTCATTGTCACATTCAAGAAACCAGTCTGAGATGAGCTTTCTGACATGGCTCGTTATCCTGCTGGAAGTAGCCATGCTGGAATGTCGGTTTTAATTTCTGGTTTTAATTTAGTTTTTTTATATACTGCCACACCGTAATATAATGCTTCAGCAGGCAGCAAATTATATATTATTCACTGCTACAAGCAGCATGGTTGCTGTGCAGACTTGTATTTAGAGGGGCCCTCTTATTTATGTACCCTATTTACTAATTATACTAAATTATAACTTTAACACAAGTTTCCATATACAACAGCTCAGCATTATATTACTTGCAGTCACGACTTCGGTCGCTGTCTGAAAATTTGTAGTACAGACAGTCCTCAGGTTTCAATGGTCTCTGTTACGATATTTTGACTTTACGATGGGTAAATGTTTCTCACTTTCAGTACACTATTCTATAAATTACATGAGATATTCAACACTTTATTATTAAATAGGCTTTGTATTACTGATTCTGTCCAACTGTAAGATAATGCAAGTGTTGTAAGCATGTTTAAAGACGGCTAGGCTAGGATGTTTGTTAAATGTACTATATTAAAATGCATCGGAATTTAACCCCATCGTAACCCGGGGAGCATCTGTATATGTAATATAATTAGGGCTGCATCTAGGTAAAGCAAAAAAAAAAAAAAAAAGGTAATCCCTAATATTATCGATTTATTACAGTAATTATTATAATCATGCTGGTTAACATTAGTATATATTTAGCTAGATAATCAATAAAACGTCTCTAGAGCTAAATGTACAGTTATAATAATAAAAAAAAAAAATCGCTATCGAGCTAAATGTACATAATCTAATAAAACGTGCCAGTGAAGTAGTGCTGGGCGATAAAACGATCTCAATTGTTTATCGATAAAAAATGAGGATAACGATGATACACAGACTATAAAACTCGATCGAACAAGTTTGCTCAGTTTTAGAGAATGCACTGAGACAGACAACTGGATGGCCTATCGCCTATTGAGCAGCACATTAGGTTTACTGAACGCCAGTACAACAGCCAATCACCGATGACGTTGTAATATTAGACAAATCAACCAAGCCTGAGACCGTAACCAGCTAGTCGTCTTAGCAAAAAACCTGTAGTGTGCCAAAGCACATGTGTGCTTTCTTTTTTGTAACATAAAGAAGGTCCAAATGATTCTAGATACAGTTCTAATCAAGATTTTTTAGAGATACAAAATAAAAGTAGATATTGATTGCCAGCATTACAGACTTGACATTGTTTTACATTTGTACTTGCACCGTTAAACTATACACAGTTTATTTATTTTCTTTTTTAATATGAAGTACTACATGTCCTAACATTCTGAATACTTAAAATCCAAAACTTGTTACATTTTAAAGTTGAGTATTTGAATATAGTTTATTTGGCATTTAAAAAAAAAAAAAATTGGCAATTTTTTGTTTGGTTTAGACCAGTGTTTCTCAACCCAGTCCTCAGCGACCCCCAGCCAGTCCACGTTTTTGCTCCCTCCCAGCTCCCAGCCAATCAGGAACACCGAATAGCTGGAACAGGTGCGCTAGGAGCTGAGAGGAAGCAAAAACGTGGACTGGCGGGGGTTTGCTGAGGACTGGGTTGAGAAACACTGGTTTAGACACTTTTCTGCCTCAGAATTTAAAAAAGTTTTTAAGAGACCAGGAATAGAGACAGATACTTAAAGCAGGTCAGAACTGACTGCAACATTTTATGTTTGCCCTTTAACATATTTGTAATATTAGACTGTTTTGCACATTGTTACATTATTATATGGTTTTGTTCATTTGAGGTATGGTATGTGTTTCTTTGAATACTTGAAAATCAATAACCTTTTATAATTTTAAGGGAAATTTGTATGTAAATAGTAAAATTGTTGGAAATAAATATTTGTTTACTAATATTGTTTATTTTAATGTATTTATTCTATTTGTCAGGATAGGATTATTTTGTATTATTTTGATTATTGCATGGAACAGAATTGTGAAACTATAATACTGATAATTATCGATATCGGTCAATACAGGAAAAATTGTGATATGGCAAAAAAAAATATCGCCCAGCTCTACAGTGAAGTAATACTTAAGCCAAGTTCATGATTATAATATACATTCTCTGTAAATGCTAGAGATGGTTGTGTGTCAAAATCCCAGTAGATCAGCAGTTTCTGTAATACCTGTACCTGTCTGCCACCAACGAAGATGCCACGTTCAAAGTCAATAAAATCACCTTTCTTCCCTGTTCTGGTGTTTGATATTGATTAAACAAAAATACAAGGTAAACAGGTAAATGGATGGTGTTTCTTTTCTTTTTTTTTTTATCAAATTCAAAATATTGC